TGGCAATCGATACCGGAACTGTCAACAATATGCGATAAGCAACTTCTGTGTTTTGATAACAATCCTCCATTTGTTTCAAAAAATCAAGCACTTCAATAGGCTTCCGAACTTCATTTGGTATTGAAACTCGGAGAAATTTCAATTCCATAAACAGATCATCAACAACTATGTCTGAATGCATACCATTCGTTAAAGAAGCCTCCAAGTTTGCACATGATTTCTTCAAAGAATTCTCGCTTACTGATGTCAGTTTTTTTAAATCAAACAAAAACCCAAAAGTTTGTTCATACTTTTGAAATTGTTCAAACATGGATTCGAGAGAAACTAGAGCTTGATCCATGAGTGTATTGAAGTAATCAATCCTGAAGCTTTCTTCAGGCGATAATAACACGTTTTCATTAGTTATCTCATTGTCTTCATCAAAATGTTTCTTTCTTCTAATGACACGCTTTTTTCTAACGGGAAATTCAGCTTCAATCTCCATATCAGATGCAATTTGCATAGCTTTCGCCTTCGCTTCCTCAAAACCCGTCTCCTGATATTTTTGAAAATATATCACAAGCCCTTTCAATTGTTGAATTGCAGCATCAATATCTATGTTTTCGGACTGCAAGATCTTACTTACTGTATTGACAACAGAAAGAAGATCATACCAAATAACCATACCAAACAAGAAATAAAACCTCCAATTCCATGTATTTCACTTAGAGCAAGGGATTCAGCATCACTTCGTGTTCCTGTGTCGTCAGTACTTTCAGCCAAGTAAAGTAAAACTTCTCTGATTTCTGAGGCTTGAAACCGTATTGCTTTGACACTTTCAACGTGACTTTTCCAACGTGTTTGAGACAAAGATTTAAGGGTTAAACCTTTAACCATCTCTGTCAATATGTCCCACCTATTGGTTGAAGAAGAAAATAAGTTGTATATCCTTTGAATAATTCCAAAAAATGATACAGCTTTTGAGGAAGAAGATGCTATATCACATAGCACAAGATTCAAACTGTGACAACCACATGGTGTGAAGAATGCTCTTGGATTGATTTCTAGCAACCTCTTCTGAACTTCCTTATTTTTTCTTTTCATATTAGATCCATTGTCATATCGTTTTTTAAACTTGGATACTTAACAGAATTTAAGATAGGCTTCACTTATTCGAGTCATTGTTAATACTTAATGGGACAACATAGATAACTCATGAATCCACGAATGATTGTCTCAAACAAGAAACAGAAGCTCCATGTTTTCCATTATTATTAATTGGAGAGTATCAAGCTTTCATTGCAAACAACAAAGAAAACAAAACATGCAGAGAAAAACGTTTTTTTGCATCCCTTTTTTATCCATCCAGAGAAGCAATACATCAAACTTCAGGGAAACCATATCTTGATTAAAGAAAAATCCTCAAACTTCAGCAGATGTGTCCGAGCGCAGAACTGTCAAGAAACAGAAAAAGTTGGTGATAAGGCAAATGGGTCAAGTAAAATGTCTAAAACCGAACTAAATTAAGAGACTGAAATTCTCTTCAAAGTTAGCTAGGGGAAGAATACCATCAATCAAATGTGAGCACAAAAGACCCAGTTTTTTCAAGTGACAATCACTTTGCTAAACAACTGAAATGGGATATTGGAAGATAGCAATGGTTCTGATTGAGCTACTTAGAGTTTCTAAGTGGTGCAAAAGGCTAAATTTCCAATTCTTTTTCATAAATAACACTCCTTAGGTTGCATATCATAGCTCAAGATCCAACATTTCATTTAAATATCTAATAATTTTACTAAGGCATAAAACCAGGCTAAGAGGCATGAATGAGTACAATTCCTAATTCCCTATCAGACACTTGCATTTCCTAATTGTGAATACAATTTTTCATCGTCTCTTATTCTATCTCGTAGAAAGTGCAAATCAGAGAAGCAGTAACAGAGAGAATCACAACACAGAAATGATAGGAGGAGGAAGAAGAAGCTTAGATCTCGATCAAACCGAAAAACAAAAACAAACAAAAGTCAAATTGAAACAAACAACCGAGTGTAGGGAGATTGAAGAATGACCTGGTTTCTGGGGCTTTCCATCAGTCCATTTGGAGAGGGAGAAGTGAACCTTCTCGCGATTGATGGATTCAGCCTTGAAGGGTTCCTTGAGACAGTTCCTCACGAGATTCGCGCAGATCTTTGAGTATGATATATATCCCTCACAACATCCCCGCCGCTCTCCAGAACGGAACCGCCGCGTTCGATGCCATTCTCCGATTTTGCTCTTCGCTTGCAAAAAAGGTTTTTGATCGATCGAGAGTCGAGATTGAGAAAGAAGATTCGAAGCTAAATCTCAGAAATTCGCTACAATGGAAGTGATTTTCTCTGACCTAAAGTCAACCCGCTACTCGGTATTCGGTCCATTGGGCCTTTTTAATTTGGCCCAAATAACTAGATTTGTTTTTTAACTTTTCGAAGCTGGTTTATTTAGTCTCACACAAAGACGGTTAAAGATGGTTCAAATCTTTCATAAACTTGAATTTTCTTCACTCTGATAAAGTTTGATTAATGATTGTTCATGTTACTTTTCAAGACCATATATCTGTTTTTTTTTTTTTAAGGCGTCGTCTTAGGTTAGCGACTTATTACATGGGTGATACACCGGTTTTTCAGATGTGGATTATATTTTTTTTTTGGTAAAAATTTAAGGAAAGAATGGCCAATATGCCATAAAATGAAGAGAAAAAATCTTCAGTGCCATAACAGAGTCTCAGTGCCATAAATGAGATGAAAACCATATTATGCCCTTAATGAAAAGCAATTGTGGTATTGCTGAATTTTGGCATTGCTGAATTTTCGTTTTTGGTTTATTGGTTTAATTAAAAAAAAAAAACAAAACAGAAAATATTATTGTTTTAAAAATTAAATTTCTCTCTCTCTTCGAATTGCACATTTCTGAGAAATTGGATTTGCCCGATCCGAGCTGAATCTTGCGCTGGACTCGTGACCCAGCTCGCCGGGACGTATTAGCCACTGTGTCGTCCTCCTGTACAGCACGACTTTGTTTTCTGAACTCGAGTGAGCTCCTTGCGAAGCATCAGGTATGATTTTGGGGTTTTATAATTTTGTGGGTCGATTTGTGAAATTTGTTAGTTTTAGCATGCACATTGGATATTTAAGACAACTATATGGGTCGATTAGTGGATGGTTGTTGGTGAATCGAGCTGAATCGTAGTCTTCTAGGTTGTGAATGATGAATCCGTCAGATTTGCGAGAATTGGGACAAGTGGTATAACTAAGAGTGTCAGGATAATTGGTACAACTGGTACAACTTAGATAGATTGGACAAGTGGTACAAATGGGACAACTTTAGAAACTGGGACAACTGGTACAATTGGTAGAACTTTAGAAAGTGGGACAACTGGTACAACTGGTACAGGTACAAATTGAGAGAAAGCTGACAATTGGCAATATTTTTATTTTGTTTTTTTTTGTATTTGCAGGAGAGAATGAGTAGGCCCACAAACATATATTTTGAGTATGGAGGATATTATTCACCGAAAGGAGAAGAGTTTAAATGGAATTCTAAAAATTCCATATATGCTATATCATTTAGAAACTTATCTATGGAGAAGTTAACCTATTCGGTGCTTGTAGATGATATATGCAAGAAGATTGGGTTGAATGACAGTATGAGGAATCTGAAATTGAGCTATATTCCGTTGGTAGCTAAGCCTTTTAGAGAGTCATGTATTGTTGATGATGGTGATGTTTATGTGTATCTTACGACAATGGATAAAGAGGGACTTAGAGCCATTTTGAATGTGGAGCTAATGGAAGATATAGAGTGTGAAGAGCTTCCCAGAGCAGAAGACGCCCCTGATATTGAGGGACAACAGGGACAACAAAGAGACCAGTTGATTGTTTACAACCCGGAAGAAGCAGAGGGACAACAGGGACAACCGGAGAGGATGGAGAATGTTGATTTACGGGTAAGCTGTGAAATTGAGGGACAACAGGGACAAACTGAGAGGATGGAGAATGTTGATTTACGGGTAAGCTGTGAAATTACGTTACCAGAGGAGAATGCGGAGTGTGGCATGCATGAAGATGTAGATGAACATGATCATGTTGAGCCTCTACGGCCTGTGGAACAAACTCGGTTTGTTCTAGAATGGTAGGATGGAGCTGGGTTTGAAAAAGGTCAAGAATTTCGATCTAAGGAGGCTTTGCGAGTTTTGGTCGACAGAGCTTCACATAAGGGGTGTTTTGAGGTAAAAACGGTAAAGTCAGATAAAGGGCGACTCATACTAAGATGCCGGCAAGCTGAACTTGGTTGTACATGGAATCTACACGCTGTACGAATTGTGGATTCAACTTATTTCAGTATTAGGGTGTATAGGAATATCCATACCTGCTCTCGGGTTGTTTCGAGCACAATTCGGAATAAAAGGAAAGGCACACCACAAGTAGTAGCAGATGTTTTGCGTGGGTGCTATCCTGGAGAAGTAGACACCCCTGCGCCCAAAGCTTTGATTAAAGTTGTTCAAAATGAAGCTCATGTGAATGTTTCATACTCTACAGCCTTGAGAGGGAAAAAACTAGCTATTAGTGAAGTGAGGGGCAGTCCAGAAGAAAGCTATCGAAAGTTGTATTGTTATCTTTACATGTTACAGCTTGTTAATCCTGGGACAATAACCAGTGTGAAACTGGATGCCAAAAATAAGTTTAAGTATCTCTTTGTCGCTTTGGGCGCTAGTATTGAAGGCTTTAGAGCAATGAGGAAAGTCATAGTTGTGGATGCGACCTTTCTTAAGAGTGTGTACGGTGGTATGCTAGTATTTGCCACAGCGCAGGATCCTAATCATCACCATTATCCAATGGGTGTTATTGATAGTGAGAAAGATGCTAGTTGAAGTGTTTTTGAACACTCAAAACTGTTATACCTGATGATAAGGAACTGGTTTTTATGAGTGACAGACATAAGAGCATCATTGGAGCAGTGAAGGGAGGTGTACCCTCAGTCTCAGCATGGATATTGCATTTGGCATTTGTCACAAAACGTGAGAGGGAAAGCTGGGATTGGCTGCAAAGATTTGTGTGCAGTAAAATTCAGAGAATGCGCTCACAAATACATTGAAAGTGAGTTCCTATGTGCGTACACTGATTTTAGGATATGGTTTCCAAAAGCTGCTGAGTATTTAGATGAGCATGTTGCGGTTGATAAATGGGCAAGGTGCTTCTTTAAAGGAGACAAGTACAACTTGGACACAAGCAATGCGTGTGAGTCTATGAATAGTGTCTTCAAGAAGGCAAGGAAGTATGCCTTATTACCGTTGATTGATGCATATGTTGAAAAAATCTCTGAATGGTTCAACAAGCATAGGAAAGACACTGCATATGCATCAGATTCGAAGACATTGGTGCCCTATGTTGAGAACCAGTTGCATACTCTATGTGCAATTGGTACAAGATTATTTGTCACTGAGCTTAACGCTATTCATCTGGAATACAGTGTGATTGGAGATGATGGGAAGAGTTATCTGGTCGATTTGTTAAGTAAATGTTGTAGCTGTAGGCGTTTTGATATAGACAAGATTCCCTGTGTTCATGCAATAGCCGCTGACATTGCAATGATGCGTTCGGCTGAGGGAATCCACTTACATGAGTTGTGCTCAAAATATTACCACATTGATACTTGGGCCCTGGCTTATTACAGGACTATTTATATGGTGCCACATCAGTCTACATGGATTATACCTGATGAAATCCAGAAGTTAGTCGTTTTACCACCGGACTACACTAAGAAACGTGGAAGAAAGCGAGATAAGCGCTATCCCTCTACCGGAGAAGCTCGCCGTAAAGGATATAACACGTCACAACCGGGAATACATCTCGGACGTTGGTTTCAGCCATTAAACCCTCGCCAAAATCAAAGTGGGAACCAAAGTGGAAATGAAAGTGGGAACCAAAGTGGAAATGAAAGTGGCAACCCAATTTAGTTTGTTTGTGGTCTTTGTATTTTGATGTAGTTTAAATCTCAGGTGCAACCGGACAAGTTGGTACAACTAAGTTATGTTTAGAGTTTATTTGGATTGTGCATTTTTTGGGACAACTGGACAAGTTGGTACAACTACGTTATGTTTTTTTGTATTTTGATGTAGTTTAAATCTCAGGTGCAACCGGACAAGTTGGTACAACTAAGTTATGTTTAGAGTTTATTTGGATTTTGCATTTTTTGGGACAACTAGACAAGTTGGTACAACTACGTTATGTTTTTTTGTATTTTGATGTAGTTTAAATCTCAGGTGCAACCGAACAAGTTGGTACAACTAAGTTATGTTTAGAGTTTATTTGGATTTTGCATTTTTTGGGACAACCGGACAAGTTGGTACAACTAAGTTATGTTTAGAGTTTATTTGGATTTTGCATTTTTGGGGACAACCGGACAAGTTGGTACAACTACGTTATGTTTAGAGTTTATTTGGATTTTGCATTTTTTGGGACAACCGGACAAGTTGGTACAACTACGTTATGTTTAGAGTTTATTTGGATTTTGCATTTTTTGGGACAACCGGACAAGTTGGTACAACTACGTTATGTTTAGAGTTTATTTTGAATTTGCATTTTTTGGGACAACCGGACAAGTTGGTACAACTACGTTATGTTTTTTTGTATTTCTTATATGTACTGGATTTCTGGACAAGTTGGTACAACTACGTAAGGTTTCTTGTTAACCTAACAAATTAAACCAAATGATACATGTAACTCTTTGATATTATCGGTTTGTTGAAACAATGTATGGGTTTCACATCAACATCCTCATATGATACATGTAACTCTTTGACAATGGAGCATCTTACAAAGGGCAAAACGAAATTTATATGATTTTGATCAAATTTCCTTGCAATGTAATAGTAAATAGTAACCATGAGTCTATCGTCCCCTGGACAACTATTAAATACAGATTTATGTTACCGGACAAGTAGAATAATCAAAATGGACAACTATGACCAATTTTGGACAACAGGACGTATCGGTACAACTATGTGTTATTTTTGATATTAAACACATAAGCACATGTTAAATTAATATTTGCGGCGCCGCCAAATATTAGAATGAAACTCAGCGTTTTGATCAGTAGGCTCCTTTATCAGGAAATTCTTAGAGAAGAAAAAACAGAATTTCCCCCAAATCGAAATCTAGGGTTTAGCGGCCGCCGCTGGACAACAAGATGCCAAGCTACAGTTCGGGTTCTTTTTCTTCCAGGCACTCGTGGGACAGTTCATATTACCGAGCTGATGGAGAAGGTGGTATGAGAGAATTGTGTTGGTGTGGTCTCCTGATGGTTATCAGGGATTCGAAGTCAGAAGCCACCCGAGGAAGAAAAATGTACACTTGCCCAGATTGGACATTTGAGGTAAAAACTTTTGGATTTTAGGTTATTTCTACAATTTTAGATTTAGGGTTTAGAATATGGTGAATTTACTGATTTTCGCTTCACTATTATTAGAGGCCTTGCCCGAATCATAACCACATATGGAAATGGTGGGAGGACGCGGTTACAGAAGAGCTATCAACTCTGAAAATTCGAGTTGATAATGCCACATCTGGGATAAAAAGTTTGCATAACATGGGAGTTGTCCGAAACTGCCTTCCTGAGACTATCTCGTTTGAGACACATCAATCCGAAATTAGGCAACTCAGAGAGCAACTATCTGGGATGGAAAGAGAGATTGGAAGGATGAAGGAATTGATTGCCAACCGAGGTGATGGATATGTGATAATCGCTTTTTTCATGCTGTTTGCTGTGTTTTCATATCTTTTCAAGTAGAATTTTGTATTGTTCAGGGGTTTGGATTTGGATTCCCCCTACTATGTCTATCTATGCTTATTGTAGTTCCAGTTATATAACAGTGTCGTTATTGTTGTTCCAGTTGTCCAAACATTAATAATTGTCCTTGTTGTCCAATGTTATCATTATGTTTAATAATTGTCCATGTTGTCCTTGTTGTCCAATGTAATCATTATGTTTAATAATTAACTCTGTTGTCCTAGTTGTCCACAGACCAAAATTAAATTACAACTATTAGTTGTCCTATTTGTCCGAGTTGTCCACAGACCAAAATTAAATTCCAACTATTACTTGTCCTATTTGTCCGAGTTGTCCACATACCAAAATTAAATTATAACTATTAGTTGTCCAACCTAAACCCATAAATATCCAAAAGCATAAGTTATCAAAAGCATAAGTTATCAAATAAGCCATATCCAAAAGTATAAGATATCAAATAAACATAAGTTCGTAAGAGCATAAGTTATCCTAAAACCATAACTTATCAAATAAGTTATCAGTTCTTCTTCTTCTTAGCCGGTCTGTCTTCAGTAAATGGGGATGACACATGTCTGGATTTAGCTTGGGTTCTCTTAGGGCGTTGTGGGACCTCACTTGGGCCCTCGCTTGGTTGAGGTTTCTTCCTATATCCTTTCTTCGTCCTCTTAAATGGTCCTTTGCCCGGTTCGTATACCAGGAGTCTCATTGCCTCTCTCTCTTCTTCCACTGTCGGTAAACGTGCTTCGAATAAGGCTGGTGGCGAGTGCTCTGAGGCTGGTGGCGCTGGTGCAAGAGGTGTGGTGGCAACAGCTGGAGGATCGGGTACAAGTGGAGAGTGCTCTGAGGCTGGTGGCGCTGGTGGCGCTGGTGGCGCTGGTGGTGCTGGTGATCGTGTTGGACTCGGCGAGTGGACTGGTGAGCATGGCCGTGATGTATCGGAGACGCATCCTGATGGATGTACCATCCCCTCAAGAGTTTTCAATCTTCTATCCATTCCTTCTACCTTCTCTACAATCTCCTCTTGCTTCTTCTCCATTGATGCCTTCAGCTCCACCAATGACGCCTTCAGCTCCACCAATGACACATTCAGCTGAGCCACTGATATGGGCTCATCTTCCCTTGGTTCCATAGCAGGGACTTGAACCCGAGAAGCAATATCAGCCTCATACAGCTCTCTCCAAACAATCTTTTTCTTCTTCTTGGTTAAGTAATCCATCCAGCCCTCAACGGTTATGTCAATATATCCGATACCATCATCGAATCCAGGATCTGCGATCTCAGCCAAAAGCTCTTCTTCATCCGAGTCAGCCTCCAAAATGCTACTAATGTCCTGATAATATCAACAAATACCACTTATTACATTTCATCACCAACCATGTTTAATATCAAGCTAATAGCAATAATCAAAAAATCACTGACCTCAGCACTAGTGCCAATAGCTTGGTTGATGTAATCCAAAGGAATACCTCTCATGGCTACATCAGTGAACCTATGCTTGCAAATCCTTGGACAGTTAGGCTCAGCATGGACAGCTACACGAAACCTCTTTCCCAGACTTGGAATGCACTCAAACGCAAGAATCCACAAAGTCAAAACATAAATCAATCTGAATATTTGTCCCAGTTGTCCTAGTTGTCCACATACCAAATTAAATAACAACTAAATAGTTGTCCCATTTGTCCGAGTTGTCCACATACCTGAAATTAAATTACTAACTAAATAGTTGTCCATCGACCTAACATATATTAATCTAAAAAGTTGTCCTAGTCGTCCACATACCAAACAGATAATCTATTAACAAAGACATACCTGTAGAGGAAGAATGAAACCACCGATTGTGCATTCAGCTCCTTTAGGCTTTACGCTGTCATTGAACTTGGTAACCACACACTGGATCTCCCTTATAGTCTCGTCAAACGTGTAACGCCCCCAAAGAAACGTTTTGCACAGCTTCAGATCTCCGGCTGCTGCGAGAAAGAATTGGTCAATGTTTCCGTCAAGCTTTGACTTCGCCTTCAATACTTTGCATAGAAACAAAAGTAGTGCCATCTTCTTCCTGTCCAAAGAGGGTTCCTTCATTTCTGCTAGCTTTGCTTCCACTTCTCCGATCTTGATTTTGTCATCCCTGCCAAAATGCTTTTTTACAAAGTTCAGCTTACCCAACTTCTTATAATTCGCAGGGTAGTCATGGCAGTCAAGACCACATAGGAGTGCATGCTCCCTCAAAGAGTATCGAATAGGCGCTCCATTTACCACAAACCACGCCTCATTTTGCTTCTCAGTATAAGCTGTGTGAAGAAGAAGCATCCACAACCCTTGATTCATATGATTTGGCTCCTTATACATATGAAACAGGTGCTTGAATTGCGGATGCGATTTGAACCACACCATCTCTTCAGGTAGCTCCCCGATCACATCAAGTACACTCTTAACTGCACATCTTGTAATTATCTTACACGCCTTGCTATATTCGCTTGGACCGAAATAAAGCTTCTCAGGCCCCATTGGCATCATTTCATCATCGGCATCCTGAATTTCAGAAGAGTAATATAAATTAGTTAAACTTGTTGTCCCAATTGTCCATAGTAACCTATATATATTAGTCCGACAAGTTGTCTCAGTTGTCCAATAAATACTGTAAACGAGTAATTGTCCCAGTTGTCCACACATGTTCAATAATTCTAAGTTGTCCCAGTTGTCCTATACACTATAACTATATGTTGTCCCAGTTGTCCTAATACCAAAAAAATCTTAAGCCACAAAATTGTCTTATTTGTCCGCAGCCCAAACATACATGTTACTACATAGTTGTCCTAGTTGTCTACATACCAAACAGACAATAATCTACAAGATTACCAAGGATGGGAGTCTAAAACATACCTCTTGCATTCCTCCTTCCTCCTCTAGCATTTCTCCTTCCTCTTCGTTGACATTGGCTGGCGCTTCATCCTTCTCTTCTTGGTTCTCTTCCGCTTCCTCTTCCTCTTGCGCAGGCGCAGTACCATCTTCCTCTTCACCTCCTATCGCCTCTTCCTCTTGGTTGGGTTCCTCTTCGTTCTCTTCCTCTTTCTCTTCCTCTTCCTCATCGTTCTCTTCCTCTTTCTCTTCCTCATTGTTCTCTTCCTCATGTTCTCTTCCTCTTCCTCATTGTTCTCTTCCTTTTCCTCTTGGTTCTCTTCCACTTCCTCTTCGTTTTCCTTATCATTTTCTTTCTCCTCTGCTACATCTTCTCCTGCTAATTCCCCGTCACCATCGTTTGCCGTTGGTGTGGCCATGCTCACTTCGGCGTTCTCAATTTCAGGATGATTTTCGATTTGTGGGTCTGCGATTTCCTCTGCAGCCCTTCCTTCCCGCCGGGGTTCTTCAATTTCCGTCGGAGTCGGGTTCCCTTCCGCCGGATTGTTAGGGTTCCCGTTTTCTGGGTCTTCAATTTCAGCCGCATTTCCTTCCGGTCGACTTTCAGGTCTCTCTTTTTCGTTTTCCGGCGGGTTTTGGACTTCCGCCGCTGAAGAAGAAGACTCATACACTTGACCTTTGTTTCTCACCTTCGCCATAAATCGGAGATTCGGGATTCACCCTTTTCGCGATTTTCGCCAGAAGAAAACGATTCTACAAGTTTATAAAGCCCTAGTGCTTTAACGGTTTTGCTGTGTTTTCGCGAATCGGTTTCTCGAAGAAGTGTGAATGAAGAAGTGAGAATGAAGAAGACGGTTTCGTTCGGAATAAATGAAAAGAAAAAGAAGAGAAAAGAGGAAAACCTAGAAAATGAAAAGAAAAAACGGATTTCATAAATATTTAATTCAAATAATTAAAATAATTTTGAATGGGTCGGGTTAACGGATTAACCGAAACTAGATGGGTTTGACCCTGGTTTTACTGTAAATAAATCGAAATCTCAAAAAGAAGGTAGGTTTTTCCAGGGTTTTGAATTTAAACAAAAATTAAAATTAAATTATTTATTACAATTATGGCATTTTGGCCTTTTTTTTCTACATTATGGCATTTTAGCCATCCGCTCAAATTTAAGAGATAGTGTAATAATATTGAAAAGAATATAAAGAATGGTATTTGTAACCTTTGCCTTCCCGATAAGTAACACTAGGAAGATAGCTTTGATAAAAGATGAAAATATGCAAAGGGAAACGCATAAATTCTTTGCGTAAGGAGTTTTAGAATGTTTATCACTACAAGCAAGAATTAACGTTTGTACCAAACCATATACTGTATTATATAAGCACGTAGATGTGCCAACACTCTAGGATCATCTACTTTTTTTCTTTCCCTCTCAAATCATTTTTATCAACCATAAATAATAAAAGATTTCATATCCTCCTCCTCTTTGTCATCATCAACCATGTATCTTGAGTCAAAGCAGCAACAAGCTCTTGATCCACTTATATTTTGCCCATATGCAATATTTGAAAACCATGAAGAAGAGTTTCGCTGGATAAACTTTGGAGAGCCACCAATTCGGAAACCCAAGTTTTCATCATCATCATCATCATCATCATCATCATCTCGAATCTTTTCCTATAACCACTGTTCACTTTGCAAGGAGTCGTTAGTGGGTGCTACTTTTCATTCATGCAAAGAATGTCGTGCGCCATATCTAATTGGCACTTTTGGCTACCATCACAAGTGTCTAGAGCCCATATCAAAGCATCCATATCATCCTAAACATTCTCTCCGACCTCGATCTAATTTTTACGTAAGAAATAGATGCTCATGTTGTTCATTTATAAGTAGTTGGGATTACAGTTGCTCTATATGCGATTTTACAATGTGTCAAGATTGTGCGAGAAAGCCACCACTTCTTGAAATATTCCACCCAAAAAGGCATGAGCATACCCTCTCAGTTTTTCCTAGAAAAGGCTCATTAATCTGTGATGTTTGTGCATTGAATGATCATAGTTTGTTGATGTATTCTTGTACTCAATGTGATTTTTTAGCGCACAAGTATTGTCTCAACTTTCCATGGATCATAAGAATCTCACGTCATCAACACCGCCTCTCTTTCTGTTCATTACTTACTCCTGAAAAATGGTTGTGTGGAATGTGTCGTGAAAAGATAGACACTAATTATGGAAGATATATTTGCGTGAAAGGTTGCAGTTATGGTGTTCATTCTAAATGTGCAACACGAGGTGATGTGTGGGATGGAAAAGAACTCGAGGGAATACCAGAAGAGGTATACGAAGAAGATCTTAAATCGTTCAATGAGATAAGTGATGGAGTTATACAACATTTCAGTCACCAAAGTCATCATATGAGACTAGACGAGGAGACCAATAGAGAATTTGACGAGAACAAACGTTGTCAAGCATGCACACTTGTTATATGTGACGAAATCATCTATAGTTGCATGCAATGTGATGATTTTATTCTCCATCAAACATGTGCTCATCTTCCTAGAAAGAAACAACATGCCACACATTCTCATCTCCTTACTCTGCAAGTACTGGATCGTCCTGTATTCGAGTGTACAACTTGTGACCGTAGAAGCAATGGTTTTATGTACGCGTGTTGTGAAAAAGATTGTCGTTTCAGATTAGACGTACGTTGTGCTTCCATAGCAGAGCCGTTGGATCATTGCTGTCATCCACATCCCATGTTTCTTACATCTGACCCTAATACTACTACGGATAAATGTTCGGTTTGCGGAATGTCTCAAAATCGTCGTCTAAACTGTGGAGAAGGTGATTTTGTTTTATGTTTTAAATGTGCCACTTTACCCGATAAAGTGAGGTACAAGCATGATGAACATTATCTTATCTTTTCGTATGATGGAGATGCATATTGTCGATATTTGTGTGATGTCTGTGAAGAACATGCAGATCCAAGAATGGGAATTTATAGGTGCAGTGTTTGCAGCACCACACTGCATATTACATGTTTACTTGGAGATTATGAAGAGATGTACATGCTGCCCGGTAGAATCAAATATGATGATGAAAATATAACAACAAATATCAATATTCTTTCCAATAATCATCTTACTCGTAACATATGTAGCCGTTGCAAATACCGTTGTACAAAACTTTTAGTATACAAAATATCTGATAGAGAAGTATTGTGCTCTTTTGGGTGCCTAGCTGAACTTATGTACAATTGGTTTTAATATCATATATTAAATTTGTATTTAATAAAACTATAGTAGCACATTTGGTTTTAAATGCCCTCTTTTGCATCCTCTAACCAGAGTTCAAATTACTCAGAACCATACTTCGAGATACAAGCCATACATATTACTCAGAACAAATATTTTTCCAAGAGATACAACAGAGCTAATGCCTAATTTAAGCATCACCAGGTAAACAAAGAATAATGGAGACAAAACACAAAAAAAAAAAAGAGTCAATAGTATCGTTATTGTAGTCCCTTTTGTGAGTATCTCACTACTTGCTTGAGTAGTTTGACCTTGTTAAAATCTGCAGGGCAATAGCTTTTCTCTACTTCCCAAGCGAGCTGAGACATTCCATTGAAGGATGATTTAGCTCCCTTTTCATCTGTTACTTCCATTGGAAATGGAATCCTCACATCATATGCACCTTGTGGAGACCATACCCGAAGGTCAAACCCAAGCCTATCCATCCATATCATCTTTGTTTCTGAAACCTGGTATTGGACAGAGAAAAGTATAGTTCTGTATAAACATGTATTCTTCTAGATGTAACTAATCTAAAATGAAACTAGTAGTTTTGCTCCTGAGATTGGTAAAAGACTGAACATTTTTTTATCGAGATGGAACATTCTTATTTAAAGTATAAGTTGAATATACTAACCACAAAGTCTAGATCCACGTATACATTGCAAAAACGGAAAATGTCTTCCATGTTGTTAGCGTTGATTTGGTTGACAATGTTTTCTGCAACATCTCGAAGAGGATCAGGACTTGCAATTTTATAATCTGATGACGCCACCCAGATTCCGTCCTGTAAAAGTTTTTAAAACATCGTTTCTTACTTACAAAATCATTTGGAGGAGTTCAAGTGTCATAAGAAACTGAAAGAGCTTGCGGATTTCTACCTCCATGAAGTCTTCCATTTGGAGTACACGGTCAACTGCAACAACATATAAACTGTCTTCCTCAACTTCTTCGCCAAACTTTTTCCTCCATCTAGCACTAAGACGCTACACAAAACAATAAGGACTTCGATTCAATACAAGTAAAAGCACATGAAATGGGCAGATAAGTCTAGCTTCTTAAAATCAATGTCATGAGAGATAACATATATATTTTCCACAAACATCTCCTAGAGGTTTAAGGAAACCCAACACCACTATGTTCAACTACACAAGCAATAGCTCCTTTAAAAACCAAGAGAAGCTCTCCAAGAACAGTGAAAATGTCTAAAGAGTACTGTATACTTTGATTACAATTACAACCAGCCAATGCAGACACATACACACAGAAAATGGATATAAATGCAAGTCTTCCTTACACTAAGAACTTGGGTTTCTACAGAATGGTAGCAAGGAGAAAAACATTAACATGTCAATTTCGAAATCCTATTGTCCACACAAATGATCATACACAATGTATTTTGAGTTGACTACAAGAGTGATGATTTGATTCTTTGGAGTGAGTGATTCAGAACAAAATCATACCTTTCGAACATTATCGTCTTCTGGTCGACCAATGCTACCTTGAATCGTACACTGAGGAGTCCTCAACCCACATTGCTCTAACTGATTCCAAATATCAAAGCAGGATAGGATCAGAAGAAGAATTTAACCAAAATACAATTTCAAAAATCTCTCTAAACAAAGATCCATTTTTGCAACTTCTCGAGAAGAAATCGAGTGGAGAAATTAGCAAAATGATGACCTGAACATGAAGAGCAGACCTCTTGTCAGGAGACAATGTGCGATTGAGGCTAAGAACAGGAGTGCCGTCTTGGTCAACGGCGAAGCGAACGCCGACGCCGAGCGGCCAGCCGTCGTGTGTCAAGGTGGAGAGAGTTCCGACGGAGGATAGCTCCATGATACTCCTCGAAACTTCCGCCGGATAGGGCTTGTGGGTCGAAGCGGAGAGATGATGATGATGGGTCGCCGTCGACGGCGTATCCGAAGCCGTGGAAACGGAGCATCGGAGGGAAATTGGACGAGATGGGTCTCGTTTCAGAGTGATGAAGTCGCGTTTCTCGATGGGTTTCACGAAAGTTGGAGATGGGAGAAGATTGAGAGCGAAGGATTGGGTTTGGAGCTTCATTTTTTTGATTGCTCAGAGAAAGAGAGAAAGAGACAATGGACTATAGCAAGCGTTTGACGAAAACAAGATAAAACTTCCAAAGAAAATTAAAGAAAACAAACCGGATCCGTACCGATAAATAACCGAATCACGTTACGAATTTTTCCTCCGGTTTGTGTGTTTTCGAGCTCTGAAGTCTGAATTAGAAGAAAATTAGGAACTCAGTCAAATCTGACGAGACATTGTGCTGTGTTTCATTTAACATCTATCTTTTTCTGTTGCAAATTGCTCTAACGCAACAATGTCACGGATATAGGATGAGACATAATTTGGGTCGGGATAAAAACTTCTCACAATGCCAAACAACCGTAAAAATGGTGCCAAGGACAATAATTAATAATTCTTAGAAAACAAAGAAAAAAATTGTAACGTTGGTTATAAGGAAAAGCGGTTTTAGACTATGTAGCTTGAAAATAGGGTTTTGTTCATTTTTTTTTTTTTGTTGGCAAAGTTTTTTTGTCATTTTGAGTTGCTTAGAGGTGTTTCCAAAATCATGTAACGGTATCTGAGTGCTTACGTAGATATTATTAATGAGCAGAGGGAAAAGAAAAATTAGCTACATTAAAAGTTTTGAAGTGGTGTCAATTAACAATCTAACCTAAAATAAATATGAATAGAAAAACAATTGCTTTCATTCGAGTCCATATATAGATTGCATATATGTGTGCAATTCTTCAGAAATGTTTAGCGACATTTAGCATATGTTTTGTAAGTTACACAAACTGTAACTAACTGATGAAACCATATTCGCTTATTACATGAATCGATTAATAACAATTGAGCGCGCAGCTAAAAAGTCATAAATCGCTAAAAAAAGGCTAAAATACCATCGTTCTAATAATTATTTTTTTTTGATTTTTTTTAATAAGATTAACTCTGGAAATTCTTCTTTTTTCCTTATATATCCAGATATTAACAAAAAAAAACCAGGGTAATATTCACCCGAATTCAACCCATCCGATAATTTTTCATTTATTAATTATTTAAATTCTTTTTCTTTTCTCTAACAATTTTTTTTCTTTTAATTAGTTTTCTTTAATTCTCCTTATATTTCTTTTTTTATTCTCCTTCGTCGTTAATACATCGACAGATTTTGAAAACCACCAAAATCTCATCTTCATCATCCAACCCTTGCTTACTCATCCTTTGCAATCAGTTTCCTGTTTTTATCTCCTCTCTCCATCACCATTGTTGAAGTTTCAAAACCCAACTAGATTTTTGTTTGGAGATTTGGGGATTTTACAATTTAGATTGGATTTGTCAAAATTGCTTAATTGGTATGTAAATCGGGTTGGTAATCCAGTTTATGTGATGATTAGGTCTTTGCATAGATAATTTATCAAATATAATTGTTGAATCGTAGTGATTCTTAGGTAGAAAATTCGAGTTCATCACCAAATCTGCAGAAGAGGACAACTGGTACGAATGGTACAACTAAGAGATAAGAGGACAACTAGTACAACTGGTACAACTATGAGATAGAGGACAACTGGTACAAATAAGTATAACTAAGACAACTTAAATAATTGCTGATTGAAAATTCTTTTATTATAATAGCAAATCGAATTGGTAACCCAGTTTTATATGACGATTAGGTATTTGCATGAATAATTTCTTAAATATAGTCGTTGAATCGTAGTGATTCTTAGGTAAATTATAGTTATACCTGAGTTCATCACCAAATTTGCAGAGGACAACTGGTACGAAAGGTACAACTAAGAGATAAGAGGACAACTAGTACAACTGGTACAACTAAAACAACTACGAGATAGAGTACAAATAGTACAAATAGATATACCTAAGACAACTTGAATAATTGTTAATTGAGAATTTTTTTTATTATATTTTCAAGAGATAATGAGCATCAACCACACAAGCAATTCAATAGATTTTATATCATTTAATACCTCATATTTGGAGCAGATAACTTATTTGGTATTAGTAGATAAGATAGTGTATGTAAGAAAATTGCGATATATGAAACTAAACAGCTTTGGAGTAGATAATTTATGTGGAGAATGAATTGCACATATAAATGAAACTAAGTGGAGTATTTCTGATAATATACAAAAATTATTTGTTTTACTTCCGAATTAGAACCCAAAAAAAAATAGAAAAAATGGTTTCTATTCTCCAAAAAACATCGCCGAAAGACAAAAAACGGATAATAAATTAGATAAGTGGTCTCAGAGCAAAAGTAGCATAGAAACTTAATTTGTGTATGTTTTTGGATTTATTTTATCTGAAAAAAATTTATTTTAGCTAAAAAGATTACATTTAAGCAGAAGAATTTTCATTCGGGATAGCCACATTATTCATTTTAGCAGAGAAAATCTTTCCTAAATGGGGATAAACAAGGTACAGTTAGACACATATATACAATTATCTGTAACTCCTTAATTTTAAAAAAAAAAGTACAGCTGAATGAAAAATTCAACTTATTTCAGCCTTAGAGTGTACATGTGTATTTTAAAGTTATTTGTATTTTCAGTTTCTGGGAATTTTGATTTCTTGCATTACTAATTATTTTGGATTTATTTGTATTTTGGATTTTTTAGATTTCTTTAATTTCTTGCATTTCTATTGATTTTGGAGTTATTTGTATTTTGAATTTTTTGGATTTCTTTGATTTCTTCCATTACTATTTTCAATTTCTCCAGGGCAACTAGATGAAACTCGGTGCAATTACTAATTAATCTCTCCCAGGCAATTAGGTGCAACTAGGCACAATTATGTTATGAATTTCTCCAAGACAACTAGGTGCAACTTGGGACAACTATATTTTAATTGTAGTGTTAAAAGAAAAAAATTTCTAAAATTATTTACATAAAAACCAATACAACACATACCCTAAAAACTGTATCTTTTCACATCTATACTAGAAAGAAGAAAATAAAACTTTGT